CTCTTGCTTGGTCAGATTTGTTGCTTCTTTACTTTTATTGCATGTTCTTCTTCGTTATCTAATCACATTGGAAAATGGGATCCATAAGTTTGATGTATGTGTTTACCACCCGGTTTGTCTGAACGATAATTTGGTGGAGCCACGTCAATGCATATACGATTTAAATATGATTTTTCTTAAATGTTTAAATATAGCATTATAAATAATTACTCGTTGAATGACTGTAAATAGGACTTATATACGTGCGTTGTTGTCTGCATCCAACCATCTTATACTCGTACAAATTTGCATCGTGAATGATACTTTTTTAAATAAAATTTGTATACTTTTTTTTATTCTCCTTATTTCTTTCATTTTAATTCCAAAGGATACATGCTTTAAAAATTCTATTAAATATTCTCAATAATTGACAATAAACACTCAATCACTTTGGTGCAGTCGCTCATGCTCGAATCTATAACCTCTATTGTAACACCCCGAATCCTGAGTTAATAGTTTGGGTCAACTCGAGACCCAAAGTTGAGCCCAAAGAACCTTATAAAATAGATAAATCAGTTTATGTTAGTGGGCTTGTGTTGGGCCCAAAAGATTTGAGTGATAGGTATTAGTGTTTTATGTAAGAGAAAGTAGAGGGGCTAATAGTGCAATTTTCCCTTATTGTTTTAAAGCTGAAAACCCTTTCCTTTTTATATCATGTTTACGTGAACCACCCCACTATTTTCTCATAAACACTCGTCTCTTCTTCATCATCATTTTCTCTTTTCTTTTTCCTTTCTTAAGTGCAAAGTTTTAAGGATTCAAGCTTAGTTTGTTGTAGCCAAGGTAAAATTGTTTCTCTATATTCTTCAAGCTTTGTTTTAAGCTCCATTTTGTAAGTTTTAGAATTAGTTTTCAAAATGGGTTTTTCTTGAAGGTAGGGTGAATCCTAGTTGTTTCAAGAGTTGTTTTAGCAGTCAAGGCAGTAAGGTAACACACTTATAGCTTTCTCATACCAAGTGTAGATCATGGAAAATTAAGACGTGTAAAAAAGTTAAGTTTAAAGTATGTTTAGCCATTTCCATGGTAAATTGTTCATTTGATGTTATAAGCATGGCATAAAGCCTTATTTATGCTCTTTTATTTACATAAAACTTTAAGCATGTTTGGGGACCTCACTAAGGTATTTGGGATTGAAAATATAGTTTTTAGTACTTGTTTTATGACTTCTGCAGATAGAGTATCTATACTATAGGGATAATATCGATATTTGTTCTTCGTTTTGGGCAGATTCGTGAGTTTTTGGGCAAGAGTATCAATACTCTTTCAATAGTATTGAAACTTTGGGTCATAGTTTCGAAACTCCCAGAAAGTTTCAAAATTGGGCAGAACAGAATGTTTAAAAGTATCGATACTTATATAAAATATCGAAACTTTTATAGAAGTATCGATACTCTTGGGCTAGTCTTGATATTTTCAGTCTATTTTGGTCAAACATTTCCCTGAGGCCCTAGACCCATAGTATGACCATATATGGGACCGAATAGGTGTAAAACACTAGAATAAGTGCTATAGAAGGTGTTTAAAGTTGGGTTAAAATGGATGAAATAGTTGTAGGGGTATCGATACCTTAGAAAGGGTATCAATACTGTAGAGAGGGTATTGACACTGTAAGTCCAGTATCGATACCAAGGGTATGGTTTGAGCTTTAAAGCACGAGTAAGTGTAGAGGCATGTAAGGGTATCGATATTGTAAGGCCAATATCGATACCAAGGTTGAGAAATGATCTTTAAGTTAAAAGAAAGTATAGAGGTAAGTGAGGTTTCCAAAAATTTATGATTTTTATCAAATAAGACTACAAGTGAGAACATTTATTAATGTTTAATTAAAACGTAAAAACGAGAATAAAGTAGGGTGAAATAAGACTAGCTTTGTTTGAATGCTCGGGAAAATGACCAGGACACCCGAGTTCTTTTAGAAAAGATAACAGAGTTAACAATATAGATTTAGTCCGGATATCCTTAGGTAGGGACGAAGTGTAATACCCTAAACATCGGGTCAGTGAATAAATTGTAAGAATTTAAAATTTAGCAGTTTGATTTTGATAAATTGAAATTCAAGGATTGATTTGGAAATTTTTGTTTAGGATGTATTATCAAAGATTGAAGGATGGAAGGGCAAAATGGTCTTTTGGCATGAAATGAATTTAAAATTCATTTTTAAGGATATTATAACATGTGAGGAAATATGAGAAAAGAAAAGCCTAGAGAATTCTCTTCATATTCTCTTCAACCGTGAACTTCCATTGCTAAGGTAAGTGATTTTGAAGTTGGTTGTTTCTTTCATTTTTGAATTGGTTTTGAGTTTTTGGGTGGTATAAAAACATAAGAAAGCTTAAAGATGATTAGAAGCTATGAGATTGATGAGTTAATGTTGATTTGATAAAAAGGGTTTTTAAGGGAGTTGATGAAAATTGAGTAGTTTTGGATTTTAAAGGTATATTTGACTTTTCAAAGGTCTGAATAAGATGTTTGAAGTATTGAAAGGATTGGAAAAATGTTTGAAGAGTGAGAGTGATTTTTAGTTTTAAGTGTTCTAGTGAAAATTTTGGATGTTAAAGGGAATTTAATTGGTATAAGTTGGTTGTGATAAGTGTTATTGAGTTTAAGGGCGTGAATGGAGTTAGAAGTATGAGATTTAGGTGAATTTGGGTCAAATTCGAAATAAAATAAGTGAATTCTGGGCAAGGGTATCGGTACTAGAAGAACAATATTGATACTATATGAATCAGATGAACATAATCGATACTGAAGAGATAGTATCGATACTAGGGGTATCAATACCAGTGTATTGAGTTTAAGTGGCGTGAATGGAGTTAGAAGTATGAGATTTAGGTGAATTTGGGTCAAATTCGAAATAAAATAAGTGAATTCTGGGCAAGGGTATCGGTACTAGAAGAACAATATTGATACTATATGAATCAGATGAACATAATCGATACTGAAGAGATAGTATCGATACTAGGGGTATCAATACAATAGTTAGGTACCGATACTATAATTGAAGAGAAAATTCCAGAATGTTTTGGGTATTGATACTGAAATAGGTATACAAGGGAAGAAGACTTGTGATAAGTCAACTTCCAATGATTTTTAACTAAAATAGAATTTTGAATAGTTATTTATGTTAATTTTTATGGTTTTAGCTAAATTGTATTTCAAAAGCAATGTTTTGATTTCGTTACTATGCATATGTGTTCTATGTGAATAAATGATAATTTGACTAAGAAGTGTTATGTGAAATACTTATATGGTTAAAGACCAAAGTATGCGCTATGAGAATTAGAGGTATAAGTGACATGCCAAGAGTTGAGGGATTTTACGCGGTCCTTCGAGATAATTCTATGTGGTCTTTCGGGACAATTCTATGTGGCACTTCGGTGCATATTCTATGTGGCACTTCGGTGAAAAATTCTACGTGGTAGTTTCGACTGTAATTGCAGTGCACAACCTCAAAGTACTCACATACCTTGATTTCTCAGTAATATATGTTGGGCTATTTAAACAAATTGATATGATTTGAACAGTGCATAGCAATATATGTTATTTTTATGAAATGTATCTTGTTTTCCGTATTCTATGTTTCTCCTGAAATATTTAAGCAAATGTTTCAATGTTTTATTATGCTCATTTATGCCTCACTAAGTCAAAGACTTAGCGTGTGAGTGTTTTCACACGTAGGTTCAGAGAAGTCAGCAGAGTAAAACTAAGTCAGGACAACATACATTTGAAGAAGATCAGATTAGACCGATTTAAACAGTATGTGATTTTGTTATTTTGAAATTTTGTTGGAATGTACTAAAAATGTTTAAATTGCAAATGCTCTTATATGTTTTATAACTATACTAATTAAGGTTATGTAAATATATTAAATAGTTGTTTTCAGTGTCTAATATTAATTTTGATTTTAACTTGTGTTAACGAGGCCCTTATGCTAACTATATTTTCCGATGCCTTAACACTCTTTAGAAGAAATGGTGAGTTAGTCAGGGGTATGGCTTCCGATGCAGAGACTTCCAGGAGCTATATCTAGGGAAGACTAGATGGGTGTGTGAGTTCTGAGATGCAGAACCTTCAGCCGCACCGTGATATCTACCATAGCTTAAAGAGTGAGTATTCAAGAATACCCACTAAAACAGTTTTAAAGAAGACCAGCTTGGGAGCAAGGTCCAACACTCAAGGAGTGGGCTAATAGAACATAACAAATAGTAGAACAGATAGTAATAGACCTTATACCAGTAAACTTGATAACTTGAGCTTTTTAGTGATGTCGTTAGTATGTTTTAGCCGTTAGTGTGGCGTTGAGCTAACTTCGAATATTTTCGTGGGCAGGTTAGTAGATCAAGCAGTTGAGAAGCAGTATATAGACCAAGGTTCAGACCAGTGCAGTGCATATCAGATGTGCGTCTCAACATTTTATTGGGCATGTATATTTGTAAACATTATTGTTCAATTGAGTCATAGATTAAGTCAAGTTGGTCTGTAATATTTTTGAAGTGTAAATAATTTTATTTTGGAGCTCCTCAGTGAATTTTTTATTATATTTCAGTTTATTTTATGATTGGTTAAAACGATCGTTTTAAAGCATGAGAAATTAAGTTTAAAGTTGGTTAGTCACTTCAGTGGTTCTGTGTAGCATCTTAAATCGGTTGACTGTGTATCGTACAGGTCTAGGATGTTACATCTATGAATCACAATAATTCTTTTAATCACGGGGTAAGTTCGTGGAAAAAAGCACCTTACAAAACTTGTCATCATCCTAAACATTTTGTGAAAAGAACAAATTACTTTAATATTTTAGTTTAATTCATGGATAGTGTTTTACTCCCATAAGCTGCGCCATTTTAATTTTATTTTACACCTTGAAAACTGTATGAACCACACAATATTTCAAATGACAAAACATTTGATTAAATAAATTTTATATATGTGTGTGTATTTTTATTCAAAAGAATAGACCCCGAATCTCTTTCTTCCTCCACCCAACACTGTCTATAAAAATAAAAACCATATGAACACTTGCATCTTCCACTCCCCACTCCAAATCAAACCCTTTTCTTTTCAAACAAGGAAAGACCCTACCGAGAACTGATGGATGGTAGAAGCAGAACTTTCATGGCGAAGAACTTGTTGCTATCGTTCTTCTTTTCTGTATTCAGTTCAAGATTAAAGCTTTCGACAGCTCAAATGGTGCCGGCGATGTTTGTCTTCGGGGATTCCTTGGTCGACGTCGGGAACAACGATTACCTCCCGGTCTCGATCGCGAGAGCAGATTTTCCTTACAACGGAATCGATTTCCCTACCAAGAAACCAACTGGGAGGTTTTGTAATGGCAAGAATGCTGCAGATTTTCTTGGTAAGCAACCATGAGAACTGAGAAAAATCTCATTGATTCTTATCAGCTTTATCCTTGGTTGAAAAGTTTTTTTTCCAAAGTTTATTTGCTTAACTTGAAAAAAATATTTTCCAATACCCTTCATGTATATTTTAATGTCTATATTTAGAATTTGCATATATTTTTATGATATCGTTTTTAATATTTGAACATAAATTATTGTATGAAGGATATAATATATCTTATTATTACATTCAATTAGTTTATGGATAACAAAAAATGATTAATTCTCATAAATTTTCAACTGTAAACTAACTATTTGTGGAGCCGGCTGCTTAAATTTTCCAACTTGAAAGCAACCTACCTTATTTAAGACACACATGAAGTTACAACTAATGAAAACAACAACATTCTGACACAATAACTTGGGTTTTAATTAGGGACTGAGAAAAAAGATTTTTTTTGTCAGGGGACAAATATGAACTTATAAAATTTTAGGGGAGCGAATTTGAACTTGTTAAATTTTAGGGGCGAAATTTTTTTTCAATAGAAAATACATAGATAAAATCTAAAATATGTGATAATTTTAAATTTTTAGGGGGACGATCATCCCTCCTATGTCCATCCCTAGTTTGATTATTACCGATACTCACTGGCGGATGCATATACATCTTAGGGTAGGCATATGCTCACCCTGGAATCTGATTTTTTTTTATACTAGTTGTTAATTTTATTGAAAGTGCTCACAGTAAAATTTTATTGTACTCGCCCTTAAATTCGAATTTCTTTATATTAATTGTTCATTTTATTGAAGGTGTCACCCTAAAATTTTATTTGTGTCTATTCTATATGAATTTTTTTTATTATTAATACATATGTGTTCATTCTGAAAAATATTTCAATATCCGCCAATTTCGGTATTTGATTATTTTTGTATTCACACTGTTCTATATGTATGCGTGTGTGAATGTTGAAATTGGGTTTCATATTTAACAATATTACTTGGACAGCTGAAAAATTAGGGTTACCAAGTTCACCACCCTATCTTTCCTTGTCAAAGAAGAAAGATGCACCGTCGTATATCAACGGGGTTAGCTTCGCCTCTGGTGGTGCTGGAATCTTCAACGGCACGGATCAAACTTTAGTAAGTCTTGAAAATCCCGTGAATATCGTATTTTAAAGATGATCGTATGAACTAATTGCATTTTAAACTGAGCTGCTAGGGTGTTTCGTGTGCTTCTTTCAAATTTCTATTCAGGGTCAATCCATACCATTATCAAAACAAGTGGACAACTACATTGCAGTGCAGAAAATTTTTGTGCAGCACATGGGATCGTCTGCTGCAGAAAAGCACCTTTCGAAGTCGCTTTTCACCGTCGTTATCGGTAGCAACGACATCTTGGATTACTTCGGCTCGTCGCATCTTAGAAAGAAGAACACCCCACAACGGTATGTGGACTTGATGGCCAACACCCTAAAGGGACAACTCAAGGTAAACTAATTAACTGGTTTGCATTGTTAAATGATATAGCAAATAATGAAAGTATTTGATCCTAAAAGTTCCAACATTACAGAGACTATACGATACCGGTGCTCGTAAATTCGTTCTCACCGGCATCGGAGCAATCGGTTGCGTTCCGGCAGAAAGGGTTAAAAACCAAACTCATGAGTGCAGCGAAGAACGCAATTACTGGTCTGACAAATACAATGAAGAGCTGAAGGCAATGTTGGAAGGGTTAAATCAGAACTTCAAGGCGTAAACTACTCTTACTTTGACACTTACAGTATCATGCAAAGCGTGATCCAAAATCCATCTTCTTACGGTATACATACACACATACATGCTACATACATACACATTCATGCATGCATGCATGCATGTAAGCTAAAATATGAGACTTTTGACCTTGTGTTTGTAGGTTTCAAAGAGATAAAGAGTGCATGTTGTGGGCTTGGGGATTTGAAAGCTGAAGTGCCTTGTTTGCCCGTTTCCAAGTATTGCTCCAACAGAAGCGATCATGTTTTCTGGGATCTGTATCATCCGACGGAGGCGACGGCTAGGTTTTTTGTGGATACTCTTTTTGACGGTCCTTCAAAATACTGTGTCCCAATGAATGTTAGGCAATTAGTTTCTGCTTGAAACTTATACTGAAAACATCAATATCTTACACTACTATGTGAATCATATACCTAATTGGAGACAACATGACACGAAAAATTATGAATATACAATATGAATTTATAAATTTTTATAATTAATATAGAATGCATGAAGATGACAACGTGAAGAGACGAAGTCAATTATTCTTAAGTTAGAAGTGAATCAAAGTCGTCCCAAACATATTTATGGTCCTGAGCGAAAACTCAAAAATATTACTTTATAAAATGAAAGTACATTTCTTTACTTTGAACAATAAATTCAATATTACATAAATAAATTATAGAAAAATGATTAAATTTTGTGAAAATATATTATTTTTATTATTTTATTAGGAAAACACCTTAAATACAACTAAAAGAGAATAAATATATAAAAAAATTGAATGCATGTAAAATACATAGCTTGATTTTGAATAATAAATAAATAAAAAGAATTGTATATTACTATTGTTAGTTGAGAATGACGAAGAATAAATTAAAGAATACTTGATAAATTGAAGAGTAAGACTTGAAAAAAGAGAAAAACATGTTTAAATTAATTCGAAATTGAATGAATAAATAAGAGAAATAGAAAAGGAGGGTAAAAACTAAACATTTTATGATATTATAAAAATTAGGGCCCCTAATTATAAATATAAAAAATGGTTAAATTTAATTCAAAATTGGAAGAATTAATAACATAAATGGAAAAAGAGGTCAAAAACTAAAGTTTTTATGAAAATACAAAAATTAGAGATCCTAATTATAAATTGTTAGGTATGACTCATAAATATACCGGTAAAAAGGATAGGGGATGGAGCGGAGTGAGTGAAGGGTTAATTTTGTAATTATGTACCAAGTTTATCTATTATAAATAGATATGTAACCTAAACCTATGGGACATTGAATAAAACTTCTAGCTCCGCCTAGGCACCGAGGACGTAAGCACATTATTGAACCTCATTAAAATTCTTGTGTTCTTTCATTTTTCTTTACCCGATTCTTCAACAATTGGTATCAGATGTCAGGAGAAAAATTCGAAGTTGCGAAATTCGATGGTCAGTGTAACTTCGGATTATGGCAAACAAGGGTGAAAGATCTGTTGGCGCAACAAGGGATCCTGAAGGCTTTGCGACCTACAAAGCCGGCGTCAATGGAGGAGGAAGACTATGAAGAATTGCAACAGCGAGCGGCAGGAACCATACGGTTATGTTTGGCGGACGAGGTCATGTATCACGTCATGCATCTGTCGTCTCCAGATGAAATTTGGAAGAAGTTGGAAAGTCAGTTTATGTCGAAATCCTTAACGACTAAACTGTATCTCAAGCAGCGACTGTATGGGCTGAAGATGCAGGATGATCATGATTTGGCATAACACGTGAATGTCTTCAATCAAATCATTTCTGATTTGGCTCGGCTTGATGTGAAAATTGAGGATGAAGACAAAGCGATGATTTTATTGTGTTCATTTCCTCTCTCTTACGAACACATGGTGACTACTCTTATATATGGGAAAGAGACTATCAAAGTTGAGGAGATTACTACAGTCTTGTTGGCTCACAACCAGCGGAAATAGAATGCAAGGGAAAGCTCTCAAGCTGATAGCTTATATGTCAAGGGTAAACGAGATCGTGGACGGAAGCCAGAGAAGGCAGGGTTTGGGAAGCGGAATTCCAGATCCAAATATAGGGACAAGAAGACAATTCACTGTTACAAGTGCAAGGAGGCAGGACATATGAAGCGAGACTGTCCGAAGTTGAAAAAGCAGACTGATGAGAAGCGTGATGACTCATCCAAGTATGTGAATGTGGTCGAGGATGACAATTTTGATTGCAGCGATGGTGATATGCTCTCTATTTCAACGACTCAATTGACGGATGTTTGTATTCTTGATTCTGGATGTTCTTATCACATCACGCCAAATAGGGAATGGTTTTCGAATTACAGGTCGTTTAATTCTGGTTCTGTTTATTTGGGTGATGATCAATGTTGTAATATTGTTGGTATTGGTGAGGTCAGAATTAAGATGTATGATGGCTCTGTTCGGACGTTGAGTGGTGTTCGACATATCCCAGATTTGAAGAAGAATTTGATTTCTTTGGGCACTTTGCACAAGAATGGTTTTATCCCTAAGGCTGATGAGGATAGGGAAACCATTCAGATTGTTAAAGGAGCTTTGACTGTGATGAAAGGAAAGATGACTGCAGGGAATATCTACAGATTGTTAGGGAGTATCGTTGTAGGTGGAGTTCATTCTGTTGAGTCCTGTGATGATACAACCAAACTGTGGCATATGTGTCTTGCTCATCTTAGTGAACGTGGTATGGCTGAGTTATATAAAAGAAATCTGTTGCATGGTGTTAAAAGTTGTAAGCTCGACTTTTGCAAGTATTGTGTTCTTGGTAAACAGACTAAAGTTCGTTTCAAGACTGCGAAGCACACAACTGAAGGGATTCTTGATTATGTGCATTCTGATGTATGGGGGCCTTCCACGACATCGTCTTTGAGTGGATATCGGTATTATGTTACCTTTATTGACGATTTTCACGGAAATTTTGGGTGTATTTTTTGAAACAGAAGTCTGATGTTTTTGAGAAGTTCAAGCTGTGGAAAGCTGAGGTAGAAAACTAAGCAGGACGAAAAATCAAGTGCTTGGGGTCTGAAAATGGTACGGAGTACACAGATTCACAGTTTCTCAACTTCTGTAAGGAGCATGTGATCAAGAGGCATTTTACAGTGCGCAAGACACCACAATAGAATGTTGTTGCGGAACGGATGAACAAGTCGTTAAATAAAAGAGCCAGATGTTTGCGGTTGAATGCGGGGCTTCTCAAACACTTCTGGGCTGAGGCTGTTAACATGGCGTGTTACCTTATCAATAGATCGCCAAGGGCATCATTGGCTGGGAAAGTTGCAGAAGAGGTATGGACTGGTTACGATGTTACTTTTGATCACTTATAGATTTTTGGTTGTCCTGCTTATGTGCATGTACCTGCTGATGAGAGATTAAAACTCGATGCAAAATCAAAGGAGTGTATTTTTCTTGGTTACAAGAAAGGTTTAAAAGGATTCAAGTTCTGGGATCCAGTTGCGAAGAAAATCATGATCAGTAGAGATGTTTTTTATGAACATCCCATGTTGCAACAGAAGAAAGACACGACAGTGGTTGATTTCGAGCAGTTTCCAGTTGAGAAAACAGAAACTTCTCAACCGACTTCTGGTGGTTCCGCTACGGATGATTTGCAGGATTATAGTCTCGCGAGAGATAGGGTGAGACGGATGAATATAAAGCCTCTGAACAGATTGGGTTTTGAAGACTTGGTCTCTTTTGCACTTACTGATAGCAGTGATGATCCGATTACTTTTCATGATGCAGTTACTAGTCAGGATAACAATAAGTGGATGGTTGCCATGGTTGAGGAGATGGAGTATATAAATCAAAATCGTACATGGGAGTTAGTTCACCTTTCTGAGGGTAAGAAACCGATTGGTTGTAAATGGGTGTATAAGAAGAAACCAACAGTAACAGAAAAAGAGGGGGAGAAGTTCAAGGCTCGTTTGGTAGCAAAGGGTTTTTCACAGCAGAAAGGAGTTGATTATGATGAATTTTTCTCTCCAGTGGTAAGACACACTTCATTCCAAGCAGTACTTGCATTGGTGGCTAGTTGAGATTTGTATTTAGAGCATGGATGTAAAAACTGCATTTTTGCATGGTGATTTAGAGGAGCTGATCTACATGCGACAGCCTAAATGTTTCACTCCACCTGGAAACGAGCATTTAGTTTCCAGATTGAAGAAATCTTTGTATGGGTTGAAGTAGTCTCCGAGACAGTGGTACAAACGGTTTGACTCCTATATGATCAAGATTTGCTACAAGCGATGTGAGTATGATTGTTGTGTCTATGTTAAGAGCCTTGATGATGGTTCTTTTATTTTCTGTTACTGTACGTTGATGATATGTTAATTGATGCGAAGAACATGGATGATGTTATCGGTTTGAAAACATTATTGAGTCGGGAATTTGATATGAAAGATTTAGGTGCTGCAAAGAAAATTCTTGGAATAGAAATTTGCAGGACAGAGACTCAGGAAACTGTGGTTATCTCAACGGGGCTATGTTGAAAAAAATGCTAGAAAGGTTTGCGATGAGCAGCGCAAAACCAGTTAGCACTCCATTGGCGAAATCACTTTAAGCTCTCATCAGAACAGTACCCTAAGACAGATAAGGAAGCTGAAGATATGGCAAAGGTTCCGTATTCTAATGTTGTTGGCTGCTTTATGTATGCAATGGTATGTACTCGTCCTGATTTAGCTCATTCTGTTAGTCAAGTTTGTAAGTACATGTCTAAACCTGGTAAGCAACATTGGGAAGCAGTCAATTGGATCTTTCGGTATTTAAAGGGTACTGTGGGACATGAAATTATTTTTGGTAGTCAGTGGGATAATCCTTTGGTTGTAGGATATGTGGATTCAGATTATGCAGGTGACTTAAATAATAGAAGATCTACGACAGGGTATGTCTTTACTCTTGGTGGAGGGCCTATTTGTTGGAAGTCTACTATTCAATATGTTGTGGCACTATCTACAACTGAAGCTGAATACATGGAAGCGGCTGAAGCTGCAAAAGAAGCTTTATGGCTTACTGGTCTAGTGAAGGAGTTGGGTGTTCAACAAGGTGGAGTTCAGTTGCTTTGCGACAATCAAAGTACTATTCACTTGGCTAAGAATCAGGTATATTGTGTTAGAACAAAGCATATTGATGTACGTTTTCACAAGATCATAGAGTTGGTTGCATCTGGAGAGATTTTGTTTCAGAAGGTACATACTGATGAGAATACTGCTGATATGTTCACCAAGCCAGTTACGACAGACAAGTTCAAGCATTGCTTAGACTTGTTGAATGTTTCGAGTTGTTAAAGAAGTAAGGAGATTTGTTAGGTATGACTCATAAATATACCGGTAAAGAGGATAGGGGATGGAGCGGAGTGAGCGAAGCGAATTACGAAGAAAGTCTCGTTGTGGGGTTACGATTATGTGGGTTAGGGGTGCGGGGGCGTACGATACAAGGGTTAATTTTGTAATTATGTAACAAGTTTATCTATTATAAATAGAGAAGTAACCTAAACCTATGAGACATTGAATAAAACTTCTAGCGCCGCCTAGGCACCGAGGACGTAAGCACATTACTGAATATCGTTAAAATTCTTGTGTTCTTTCGTTTTTCTTTACTCGATTCTTCAACATAAATATAAAAAATTATAGATCCTAATTAAAAATAAAAAAAATTATTTTATCATTTATAACTTTATAATTTTATTAAAGCTAACTTAAAATTTTATTATTTTTAATTTAGTTATAGTATATAAAAGAATTTTAACATTTTATTATTTATGAAGATATCAAGCTCATTTATTTGGTTTTTTAAAAGCAAACTTGCTATTTTTTTTTCTTTTTCAATTTAACTTGCAAATTATTTGAATATAGTAAAATGCATTAAATATGAAAATAAGTTTTGAAGAAGTGTTATATTTATAAAAAGGAAAGAAAAGAGATTGAGTTCTACACGTTATATCATGTAAACTCAAAAGTGCTAGGTGTTTCATGACATCATAATACGTGTTTAAATTATGAAACTGGAATGAGGCTTTCTTTTAAGCTGAAATGTAGGATTAGACTGCTTTAGTTTCATTATTATTATCTTTAGAATATTCTTTTTTAAAAGCTAAATTGGAACCTTGTTTGGCTTCTGAGAAAATGAAGTAAATTTTAGAATTGTGTTTGACTTATTTGAGTACTAAACTGGAAGAGTTTAGCTTAGTTTGCTTGGAATTGAATTGGAGGCGTTGCAATTTGTGTGCTATTTACTTTCCCTGCACTTTTCCAACTACCAAACAAGGCTTGAAAATTCTGCCCAATACATGGTGAATTTTGTTGAGTTTTATTTGCACATTTTGCTTTCCCTGATAATTGATGTAAAACAATATATTCTTTTTCAATACATATTTATTTGTTTTCGTTTTGTAACTTGTGTGGCATAAAGCAGAGTATTCATGAGGTAAAGCATTTGAAGCGGATGCCTGCAAATTTGAGGACCAAGCAAGAATGGCAGGGAAGATTTAAGAATATAGGACTAGGGAGAAAGGGGGTTGAAGATTCAGAGAAAGTTGAAAAATCAATGATGGCTGTTGCATTCAATGATGAAAACTTATACTTACTAAAGTAAAGAACGGTACAGAAGCAAAGGTACATTCATGATTCTCTTTAGTTTTACTCACCTGGAAGTGAGGGTTGCTGTAATGAGAATTAAAATGTCTATTTTATGTCCTTATAAAATTCAAATGAAGGGATTTCTTATTGAGATTTGAGACGGTTGTCCTACAGACTTTAGAAGCAATTCCCTCTGTAGACATTTTAAATATCATCGACACCAATAACATTCCTCCAACATATGTTATCAAGCAATTAGCTATAGCGGCTGAGTAAGTTTTTGCCATTAACGTGCTTTTAATTCTTGACCTCAGTTGTTTGTTCTCTGCTATTGCCGACTTTGAAATTCGTTTGATTCCTCATAAAATATGCTGATTTATAAACTGTTAAATTTACTGGAACTTTCTGGACCTTAACTCTGTTTTGCCACACTGATAGCTACTATTTAATCTTTTTATGCAAAATATTTCTTGCTTCTGAGCTCATGTTAAGTGGTCAATTGTGTGATCTATTTAATTGTCATATTTCTGCTTGTATATGATGTTTTTAGCTTTTTTGTGCTTGGTTTTTGGTTCCAGAGCTGGAGGTTATTTTAAGTCTATGAAAGATCTTTTGGCATCTTCTGGAAATTCTTCACCCCTGTGGGAAAAGACAGGCCTGTCTTTCTCTGCAGTGAAGTCGTTAGTTCTTCGATACAAAGAGGATAAACTTGCATCTGGCTTTTGTGATGATTCGAGAGTCCTTTCTTTGATGCACTCACTGTTTCATACAGGCAGGTTCATATATGTGACTGATAGGACATTTGCTTTTGATAGGAAATATGTTTTTCTTTAAACCTTCACCCATTTTTATGGCCATTCAGTTTTTTTGGTAGACGGGGACATCCTCCAAAGATATCTTGTTTCTGATTCAAACACATTTATAGCAATGATATCTTTGCCAAAAGAAATTCATGGTGCTCCTCCACAGAGCTTTGTTGTTAAGCTTTCTGAAGTCATTGGAAGCTTTAGGACTCTCCGTAAAATGGCTCTCTTTTGGTGCAGGGTTGTTATTGAAGTAAGTCGGTTATGCAGAATCTGTACTAACATGAATGGTTAACATAGAAAAGAAACTAAAATCTTTCATTGTCACATTTTGATGCTTGTAAGTCTCTTTGTATTATGGATTTTGTTCTTCATCTAATGAAAAGTGTTTGGAATCCATTAATCATGCAGTTGAGAAGGTTTTGGTTTGAAGGTAGACATCTGCCAGGCATTCCTGTGGATGAGACTCCTGATCTAAATTCATGTATTTTACATCAACAATTGCAAGTTATTAATTATTGTATATCCAGAAAAAGACGGCGTAGTATTGCCACTGAATCATTTAACTCTGAAATGGAGGAAGCTAGTTCAAATTTTGAAGAATCAGATGTTGCTATAGGCACAGTAGCTGCCAGCTCTGCATTATATGCACGAGTTAGCACTGGAGAACTTGTTCTTCGACAAGGAGCTAGTCAACTGGCTGATAATTTGACAATGTTAGAAACTGGTGAACCTATATACTCACCTATTACTCAGGTTTGGTTGACTGACTCTGCTAACAGATTTCTTACCACTTGACCCTATTCCCATTGTTCACTGTTTTTATGCATATGACTGCAGGAAGTACCATTGCTTACAGAGGACCTTATCAAAGAAACAGAGGAGTTAGTGCTTCGTACTGGGAGGTCAGTATATTCACCTACCACTCCTTCAACCTTGTTACATTTTTATATGTATTCCCACCATATAATTCTTACAATCTTCTTCTAGTGGTGATTGTTTTAATCTGTTTACTGCGTAGATTTGTTTGTATCTTGGTGATCATATTATTGAGGTTCTCCAGTTTGATTTAAAGCAATTATCTTATCTTTCAGGATCAACCTATCTAATGCTGTTATGCATGTCGTGTTTTTCTGGTTATTTTCAAATCTTTTCCATATTCTGGTGTACAGATCAAAGTTTTTGATGAAAATTACACAGTTTTTCCTCTGCTGGCTACTTCAGTGTTCTTGTTATTCTTTTACTCATGACCTTATCTTTTGATGGTCAGTGTTGGTGCTGGGTATTCTCAAATCCTCTCTGACAATTATTTGAGCAAACTTTTTACTCAGTTGACCTTATTTTAGAAGACTTTTGAGATGTGAACGGAGCTTCATTTACTTCACATCGTTGTATATCTGAATGACCTTGTATTGTGTTCTTTTGTGGCTAGTATTAGGAGAATGAATTCGAAACAACGTCTAGGTAGAGGGTTTTACTTCTTGATGTATTCGTTTGACATTCTTAACTTACAGGTAGTGTCACTGGCTCGGACTTTTCTAGGGTCGATTCTGATAGTTGAACTATATATGTTTCAGGTAATCTGTGGCGTGAACTATGGTGTACAGCGAAGCCGGTACCAGCCATTAAACAAACGCCTCTCTTAGATGAGGATTTGGCAGTGCAAGTTGGACGCACAGCATTTTATGTTACAGCTTCTAGATTTTCCTATCACAGGAGCATTGTTCTTACAATAATTGTGTGGGTTATGGTTTCTTTAGGGAAGGAATTCTGAATTTCTTAGAGGACATTCCCACGTCTGAGCTCTTTCAACAACTGTTTGTTTCTCTTGTAAGTTCTTTGATCCGATTATGGATGATAAGCTCATTATTTATGTCTCGTAATTTTAAGTCAAACATGATTAACCAACTACTTATTCTTCATGATGCTAATGCCTTGTTTCTATAATTTTCAGCTTTCTTTGGGATTTACATTAGCCGAGGAAAAGCTCTCCGCCGATGAAAACTTGTCGAAGCTGTTCTACGAGTGCAAAGACTACGTCGTTGCGACTTGCCAGAAAAGTGTCTGGAATGACAAAGTAGACGATCTTTGGCAGGTAGTTTCTATTGCAAAATGCTACTTGAATATAGATACCAATGGCCACAAGTATCGTTAAAACACATGGGGCTGATATCAAATGTTCATGATAAACTAAATGCTAAGTAAAACGATGGAGTGTCTTTGTTTTGGGCATGTTCGAAGTTTCCCAACTTCGATTTCTTCATATACTTTACGGTGTTAGTTTATAAGATTCCGTTTTTCTGTGATCTTACAGTGTTCATTGTCAATAGGTGTATGAAACAGTGGAAAAGATGGTGATGACTCCAGAAGAAGTCATAAAAACAATAAAGCATGCCGAGGAGCCACCGGCGATCGAAAACGGAAATACTTCTAGTGAGCTAAAACGTCAATTTAAGCTCAGTCTCAACTTCGGCGGCAAGGAGAAACAGCAGCAGAGAAAATCTCCTCCGAAAGACCAGGACTTGGACGACAATCCTTCTCGACCATTTGCTAGCTTTTTCGATAGCAAGTCCATCTTTTTTTTCAAAGCTATCCCCTAAAAATCTCTCACCTCCATCCTTAGACGAAATCGATTGGACATTGGTTTGATCGTACCATTCTCCGCGGCCGTCCCGTCCTATTTTCCGATCGGTTTAATCAGAGCATAGTTTAGCAGGCGAATGTAAATTATTGTGAAATGAGCTAATGGCGTTAAAGTTGCGATTCATTTTTTTTTCTGTGCATTGCTTCAACAGTATGTGAAAAAATGAACAGAAACATAACAAGGGAAAAACATATATGGTCATTTCATCATGAGAAAAATAGTCTGGCCTTCCTTTATCGGAGCTTGATCTTCATCGTCTTCCTTGGCTATCATTTTCATTTGTGTTCTGGTCTTCACCAACCATGAAATACGGTGCCACAAAATTCCCCAAGAAGTAAACAACCAGAAGCAATGCACTGCATTTCCATGAAAAATCCACAAGTGTTTTTGTGCGTGTGAGAACTTTAAAACTCGAAAAGTTTATGCTAAAAATAACAAAATTAAGACAAGAAGATTAAATCTACCGCCTAAGCATAGTACAAGTAAATAAGAACTTAGACCTTGTTTGGAAAAAGACTGTAATGTCACCGGATTGAGATGGAGGGATCTTGGCAGCGATAAAAAGGGGAGTGGAAGTAGCATTTGTCCTCGAATGCACATTTCGTTTTACCAAAACCAGGCCGGGAGCTGATTCACTTCTGAAAAACTGAAGCTGCTGTTTTGCTTTCGGATTCTGTTTATTGAGCTGAGAATTCAAAGGAAGGAATGGAGAATAACAATGGAGGCAGCTCATTGCGATGCGCTCACGGTTGAAATTTTAGGCCTTTCGGTCAGTTTCTTTGTGGAAGGAGACGATAACAATGTGGGATATTTTTGTTTAAATTTCCACGTGGTCTAAATAGGCTTGAAAATGGACAAACAATTTACTGGGTTTGAGCCAGTTTGAGATTCGGCTTTAATATCATGAAAGCCGATTCCATAGCATTGGGCCCAAACATTGAGCATAACTTGTCCCTACTAGTCACTACTAGAGATGGCAAAAGAATTTGAAACCCACGAATTTCTTTTTTGTTATCCTTCAATGTTTTGCTCTAACTAATTTGGATTGACTCGGATCGTACACTTAGCTTTGATGGGTGAATCTCTCTACGGGGATTTTCTGCATACACAAGAACTCGAAGATGAGACATTACTTAAGCAATATCAAGTTGCTTACCACTTGAACCAATCTTGTTGGTGAAACCCACAGTTTTCGATCCCTTTATTAATCTACTTTTTGCTTCATGGTCACCAAGCTATTCATGTGTTCCAAACTCGTCATTTTCATTAAAAAAATTGGTAGCAGTCTGAGCTGGACGTTAATATGCTGGTTGGGATATGATAAAATTATATTTTAATGATATACACTAGCACTGTCGTTACTTTCGAGCATTGGCTCGACAACATAATATAAACGGAGAGTCGATCAACAAAATACAATTCAAACGATTCTGAAATCAAATTTTATCATATCTTAGTCAACATGTTAACATCCACCTTCGACTGTTACCAATTTTTTAACGAAAAAGAACAATTAAAAAGTGACATCCTATAACCGGTAGATCATTTTGTAACTTCTAATATTTAAGAGATCAATAAAACAACATCATATAATTAGGGACCATCTGTGTACTTTACCCTATTTCAAAATAAAGACTTGATAACAATTAAGTCGAAAAAAAAGGTTTCGATGGCCCTTCTTATTGTCAAGGTAAGTCTGTCCCTACTAGTCCTTGTATTTTACAAAATTAACAAGCTAGTCCAGTGACTGGTTAAAGTGAAAAGTTAAGCTATAAAGTGAAAAATATGCTCTTCCTCTTAGCCTGCATACATCAAATTAAGTGGTGCATTATTCATCTTTAATTGATGGTCTAGATCTGAATGAATTGCTACCTACTTGTATTTCCTCTTACCTTAGCTTAGCCTCATAGCCTGCATACAGCAAATTAAATATATTTGTGCTATAAAAACATATGGATTATAGTATAAATTGTAACGTTAATTAAAAAAAGGAAAAATTCATTAAAATTATTTGTGAAATGTAAAATGAGAAAATAATGTGACTTCAATATCAGTTTCATTAAAATATTTTTTTCTCAATTAGTATATATTAAATGGTTTTGACAAAGCTAAAGGTAAAAGATGTTGGATTTGAATTTTGTTGATACCAATAGTGGGATCATGATTGTGACACATATATTTTTGTTACTAGTTTTTAGTTTTATAATATAAATTATCAATATTTTTATAGAATAATATATTTTAATTAAATTTATAATTTATGTTGTAATTACTTTTTATTAAATAAACGTGATTAATATTATAGAAGAATGTATATTTTATAATTTTTTTTGACAGAAAGTCGCTAGTTTTTTTAAAAATAGAAAATATCCAGAATTACAACGAAAATATACAAGCATAACGTAAATGTAAACTAAATTATAATTGGGACATTTTCCTATAACCATTGTACAAAAAATAGCAACCTAGATCACCAAAAAAAAGAAAAGATTAAAAAATCTAATCAATGCTTAAACAAAATAAAGATACGAACAATTTTGACTGCATCGCAAATGAACCACAAAAGGGGATGAAGCTATTGAAGACCGTCGACAAATCGCAAGTCATAGTCAAATGACGTGAGAAAACTATTCACGAACGTAAAATACGTATCCAAATCAATCTGAGGGTCCAAAGCAGAGAAGATTAGCATGATAACAAATAAACGACATCTTGATCAATCATGACGATGTCAAATCCAACCCTGATAAAAAAAAGATAAACGAAGAAAACGATAAAAGACCGTAAGCTACCAAAAGGTAAGAAAAACGTGTCACAATGTTAGAGATAAACGTGTCATAAAGACAGAGAACATGTCTTAAAGACATAATTATTCTTATTTAAAAACTAAAAAAAAAAATCGACGGACGGCAACCAACATCAAAATCGATGTCGGCGTCGATTAAATAAAATTAAAAAATAAAAACTAAGATTGAAGATAATTCTAAAATATTATTGTTATTATTGTTTCTACTAAGCAATGATTCAATCCCACACGTGACCCCATGCATAATATATGGATTGAAGATAATTCTAAATTATTATTGTTATTATTATTGAATAACAAAAACGCAATTTGATGGTTTAAAGTTAAACTTGATTACCATTGTGATAGGGTCGGTTTATCTTTCAAACTTATAAATGCTTTCAAAATATCATTGTTTTGAAAATCGGACCGGACCGACCGGTTCAATCGGTTCAACCGAGAATCGCTGTCTAGTCCGATTCAATTTACATCGGTTGAACAGTTACTAGTGAACCGGCCGGAACCGCTGAACCGTTTGAACCGGATCGGCTGAAAATCGGAAAAAACCGCTAATTTTGTTTTTTTTTAAATTAAATCAAACAACGTCGTTTGTTAAACGTGCCAAGTCGAACTCGAGTATTGTTGAGCTCGACTCGAACTTGAAAACTTTAAAAGTAAGCTCAACTCGACTCAAACTCATGAGATAAAAATTATCAAGTTCAACTGGAACTCGAAATATAATATTGAAAATTGAACTCGAAAGGCTTGAACTAAAAAAAATTAGAAGCTCGATTGAAGCCTAAAATTCGAGCTTAATTAAAGTGAAAGAATGCTCATCAAAAGGCTCCATGATTTTGAATGCCAAATTACCTCTATTATTTATAGAAGTTAGTTGGGATGCTCTTCTATGTTTCTTAGCCATGTGGGATTGTTTTGTTCTCATATTTTTACTCTTTAGACTTTTGGGATGCTCTTCTATGTTTCTTAGCCATGTGAGATTGTTTTAAAAAAAAATTAAACCAAACACTATCATTTTGTTATGATTTTTTTAGCTCCAAATTTATTTTTTTAATTATAGTTATATAATTATATTTGTTATTTAATATGTTTTACCTTAAATATTATGTTGTAGTTAATTTGAATCATTTTGTTTCACTTGATTTTATGGTTTTTAACTTATGTATGTTATGATTTGCTTTGAATATAACTTGTGATATAAAAATTTATTTTTTATTAAATATTTTTAATATTTTTATTTAATTTTTTAAATAGTTATGACGTCGTTCGGTTCTTTCGACCGGTCGGACCGGTTCGACCGGTTGAACCGGTAACATAGCTGATTCGTTAACCGATCCGGTTCTGAAAACCATGTAAAATATCCAATATATTTTGAAAATAATCGATGTTTTTTTATTTTTCCAAATAATATTTCAAGTGAAATCTCAAAATTTAAAATATTTTACCTAAAATTCAATTAACATTTTTTTTACTAAAATATTTTCAATTTTATCAAAAAAATATCATAAAACACTAAAAAATGAATCCCACTTGAAATTGAAGGCTCCGCGCTTGAAAAACTCGACTACCTACGACACAAGTATAATAAAGTGGAGGAGGTGATATTACTTTAAACGTACGTTTAATTCACGGAATGTAAGATTATTAGAGGGAATAAAAGATTACCAGGGAATATAATTACTGGGAATATTATATTTTGTGTTTGGTTAGTTTAGCAAGAATGTAAGATTACCGTATTTGGTTAAAAGAATAAAAGATTATTGGAATGTATATTTGACCAAATTATCCTTATTATATATTTATTTTTAACCAGTTGAAAAATATTTATATATTTTCTTTAAAAAATTTACATTTATAAAATTTATATAATTTTTTTTACAAAATTAAAAATATAAAAAGGTTTAATGAAAGGGTAATTTTATTTTAACCCCTGAACTTCATATAAAATTTTAATTATAGACCTTTTTTTTGTAAATCTAAAATAGTTTAAGGATAAATTTATAATTTAACCTTCGTAAAATTTTTATTATTCAATGACAGAATAAGGATATTTAAAAAAATTTAAAGGCATTTTAGTTCAAAACATCGGCAATCCAACAATACCTAAAGAAATGGATGTAATGACATTCACAGTAATATACCAAACAAATCTACTATTGGTAATATAAGAGTACCGGGAATGACATTCCCGGCCAACCAAACGGGGGAATGTGGATTCTATTCCCATGAGAATCTCACATTCCCCCAACTAAACACACCCTAAATAATTTGATTAATTACTTATAAAAATGGGAAATTTGTAATTCATCCCTAATTAAAGTAAAGCAAGGGAAGAAACATTTGACTTTAACCTGCTTGTTTTACTTCAGACCTAGAACCGTTAAATTTGAATCTATCATGATTATTTGAATCAATTTATTTGATTTGATATTCGATATAAATTTAAACATGATGATTAAATTTGATTCGAAACCTAAATTAAACTCGATCTGAATCAAATACGATCGAAATTTTAGCTAGATTAATATAGACTCATATCCAATTTAATCAAATCGAAAATAATATGGATCGAAAGTAAACTGATCCAAAAGCAACAAAACGAAAGCAAACCGAATCGAATTTAGCCTAATCCGAAAGTAACCCAAACTAAAATTAACCCGAACTGAAAATAACCCAAATTTAATTTACTCAAATCCGATCCTAATAAAAAGTTGACTCAAATTTTAACCAAATAAATGAGTATAAATAGATGAATGATTTATTGTTATTATATTTGTTAACAATATAATAAATAGTAAAATGATGCATGTTTTATTCTCTTTTTGCATTATACTACTAGTTAATCAACACCATTGAAATAGGTTGACTTTAAACGAAAATCAATGATTTGATATTGATTCGAATTTAAAATCAACCAAATCGATATTGACCTAATCCAAAAATCAACCGATCCGATATTGACCCGACTTGAAATTAGATCGACTTGATATTAACTCGACCCAAAAATTGACTCATCTGATATTAACTCAAACCAAAAAACAACCAACCCAAAATGACATGACCCGATACTCGAACCGACCCAATTTACTATACACCCGAACTTAATCTGATCTGATATGACATAAATTAAACCGAATTCAGTCTAGACTTGTAATAGCCCGACTCAAAATGACCTGATCCGAATGATCGATTGCCACCTCTACTCAAACCCTAACAAAGGAATAGGCCGGCCGTTGCCACCAACCTGAGCAGGAAGTAACCCCCAATTAGTCAAAATTGCACCACCTATTGCCTAATGTTGTTAATGTTAATTACGAGTCTAATGTAATTAGGTGTTATAGTCAATTAGAAAAGAAAATGAAAGTTTTTAATGTTAATTATGTGCCTAACATTACCTATCATAATTTAGTAATTTACAGCTGGTAAAGTTAATTTAAGAATTAAATTGTTAAATGTTAATGAGCTGTTGCTTAGGTCACAAGGTGTATTCTATTACAATAGAAAGATTGCTTAAAGCACACGTAAAGGGACTAGAATCAGCTTGCTTTTCAAACAATCAAGGTTTATTAATTGACAAATTTCCCTCTACCATATTTTTCAACTTGGCATTTAATTCTTTTATCAGCAGTGATACTTAAATTACTTTTCCGTTAATTTAAATCACCCTAAAACGTTAATTATATATAGGGTTAACTGCACAAATGATCACTTATGTTTGTGTTTTATCAACTTTTGGTCACTAATTTCAAAAAACATAAGATATGGTCAATTTCGTTTTTATTTAGTTAAAATGTGGTCACCCCGAGTTAACTATCGTTATCAAAAGTTAAATATTTTGATTTAATCACACATTTGGTCCTTGTTATTTACATATTCTCTTAATTTAGTCATACTTTTAAATCTATTATGTTAGTTTGTTAACTATAAGATTTATTCGAATTATGCATACGATAAAGTAAGTCTAATGACATTGTTTATCAACTATCATTTTATCACATCCTCTTATATCTTTGGTCACTCTAGACACTTATAAATTTGTTTTATTATCGTTTATCAATTTAATTTTGTCAAAATCTTTATAAAATTCGCAAAACTTTAACACTTATCTCTTTCTTTCTTAGAGGGATAAAAACTTTGTCGGATTTAATGGTTTTGGACGTGGCCAACCAAAATTTTAAATAGTAGGATTCAATAAGAAAAATATATATTATGAAATTAACTTCATCGAACCATTATCGACAGAGATTTGAGCATTAGAAGATTAAAATTCTAACTTGATTTTCATTGATTTTGAATGAATTTTGAAAAAAACAAAATTATTGAGAAGAAAATGGGGAATAAAAAGTAAACATTAATTGAAAGGATTTAAGATCTTTCTACAAAAGAAAAAAAATCATATCATAAACCACGTTAAAATATTAACGGTTTTATGACTAAAAATGAATTAAAAAACTTTAGTACTATAATTTTAATTTTAACTTTTAAAAAACAACAGTCACAAAATTAAGCATAATAAAGGGACTAAAATGAGAAATTGACCTTTAAGATTTATATCAAATTAAGACTAAATTGAGAGGATATGTAAATAACATGGATCAAATGTGTGATTATATCAAAATATTTAGCTATCGTTAAATGAATTTAACTCTGGGTGACCATATCTTATGTTTTTTGAAATCAGTGATAAAAAATGGACAAAATACATACATAAGTGATCGTTTGTGTAGTTAACCCATATATATATATATATATATATATAACATGATATTTTGAGTGCACTATTTTCACTCCACTTAGTTATTAAAAACCCTAGTTATTAAAAGCCCTAAATCAACTTTATTTATGGTGTATAAATATGAACGTGAGCTTTGCTTAATTTGTGTATCACACATGATATTTTGACCGCATTATTTTCACTCCACTTGGTTATTAAAAACCCTAAATCAACTTTATTTCAATTTTGCATAAATATGAACGTAAACTTTGCTTTTTTGCTTTTTCATTCAAATGGATAGTTACGATTTGTTTATCAATTTGAGCCAAATGGCCAAATTTAAGTATAAAATTGAACAATAAACTAAATTCAAATATCTAATTAGACAAAGAAGTTTAGGTACCAAAATGAACCTTGAAGTCAAGTTTAGGTACCTAATTGATACTTACAATTCTCGATCAATTTCAATCAAGTGGCCAAGTTCATGTATCAAGTTGAACCAAATTCAAGTACCTAATTGAGCTAGGAAAAGATTTAGGTATCAAATTGAATCTCGAAGTCAGCTTTAGATACACAATTAAGATAAAAGAAACTTAGTTACAAATTAAATTTTGAAGTCATTTTAGATATAAAATGTATATAAACCTATATTAAAGGAAAAAAATGAGTTTTAAATGGTGTGAAACATGTGCTCAAACTCTAATGGAGATAGGAAATGACTGTCAAGAGTATACATACGTACATACATATACATGCATTATTATCTTTCAATCTTATGGTACGGATAATACGAACCAAATTATCTAAGAGGTTTTGGGTTAAACCATCAACGTATGCAACATGAGTGATTGAGCGTTCATTATTAAATAATTAAGTGTATTTAAAACATATACTACTTTATAATTACTTTAATTTAATAAAACAAATCTTGTGGTACGAATACCTTATATACGAAGACTATAACTTGATATCTCAATAATTTTGGTCCCCATGTAATAAAACCTAGTTGGTACCTACAATTTGCAAGTTTTGGTTTTCTTTTGAAAATGTAACTAAAATTAGAATAATAAAAATATAACTAAAATATGCCCCCACTTTCTAAGGGGGAAAAATAAAAGTTACAAACTGCAAATGAAATACATTAATTTTCAAACAAAATGTTTTTCATTAATAATATAATTCAAGTGTTGTTGTCTCCTGTGTTTCTTGATGTTGTACTATTGTTATTACCACTATTGTCTCGATGAGAATCGCCGATGATGGAAGTAATGGCCGCGACCAGCACCGTGGTGAAGTTGGGATCAGCTGTGATGGCAGCAGCCATGGCCACGGGATGTACATGCATTTGGCTTTGACCTAAATGGCCGGGAATTAGTTCAGTGTTTCCTTGGGAGCTAAGCAAAGTACCCAAAGGCTTGGATTGGTTGTAAATTGGGTGACCGAGCAGGTGAGGCGGCAAACCGGATATATTGTGAGGCCATGGTGGAGAAATGGGGTGAAGTTGGTTCAATGGTCTTTGTTTAGGGTTGTGAGTGAGGTCCAATGTGACAGTAGGAAACGGAGCTGAAGCTGAAAGGGTGACCAAACTTGGTGAGCACGGAAGCATCATTCCTTTCGGGACAATAACCCCATCTGCACTCGGCAATGATCCGGACAGTAGTGCCGATGCCGCCGCCGCTGTTGTCGATGCCATGGCCATCGCTGCCGGAGGTAGTGGATGGTTATGGTTTCCTTCATAAGTTGTGACAAGGATGGTTTGATCCTTCGCACACCTTTGCAACTGTTTAATCCATAGATTAGAACCCTAATCGCTGAAACTAAGGATCGAACAATGATCGAAGAAAACATACTTGTTTGCGAACCGGGCAACCGGTAGCCATGGTGCAACGGTAGTAAGCTCGAGGGCAAGGGTTTCCTTTTGCCATCTTCTGCCCGTATTTTCTCCATTGACAACCGTCAGCAATCTGCACCCATTGAAATAAGTGCTAATTACTTTCTCAAAATCTAATTCAACAAAAGTAGGCTTGTTCATTGATGCTTGATTAATTCAAACAAAATTCTTGAATAATCTGATCTGAAAATCTTACCATTGATGCTTCAGATCGAGCTCGAACCGAGACGCGAGCTTTTTGAATCATGGCCATGGTATGTTGTGCTTGTTCATTATCCTTTGAGGTATTCAACTTGGGAGCTTTGTTAGGTAACCATCCTGGAGGTTGAGGAAGACCTTCAGGGGTAGTACTGTTCTTTTCTCTTCTCTCCATAGACTCAACAATGGTGTTCCCAGGCGAACCTGATAAGTCCGGCAATCTTTCCTCCGACGAAGATTCGGAAATCTCATCTTTTTCAGCCTTTTCCGATTCACCCAGATCCACAAATTGCCTTGCCACCATACCTTCACCATGTGTTTTATCTTCCATTGATCTATTCATCTAATACAAACATCATCAAGAAACGCATGAAATATATCAGTAACTAATGATTGATTTATGGTGAAGTTACATATGATTATCGGCTGCAGTTGTACCTCAGTGTTGTTAGCTTTTGAACTTTCAGCTACCCGATTTCGTTGCCGTTGCATCAATGAAACAAGATGCATCTTTAAAGCATAATAGTTGTTGTTCACCTGGTTAAGAGTGAGTTTCAGCCATTGATTCTCTGCGTTCGTTCTTTCTAATTCAGCTCGAACATCTGCTAACTGCACCCATGAATATAAGTTGTCTAACTATTTAGCATCCATAATCTCTTTTTGATTCAAAAATACTCATTCACCAACCTGAATTACCCTTTGTTTCTGTAATGATTTCTCACTTGCGGTATTAGTTGTCAAGAGATTTATACCAGTCTAAAACAAAAACAAAAGAGAATTTCCAAGTAAATATAACTTGCTATACACATATATGTATGTACGTATTTGTGACAATTCTCTTACGTTTACATCATCAGCTTGATCTTGAAGAAACCCAGGATATTCAGTTTCCATCTTCACACGATGATGGTCGTCGTCATCGCCGGCGTTTACATGTGTGGAAGATAGATCGCCGGCGAAGAAGTCCATCTCGTTGACTACTCGTTTACGATCAAGGGGCTCCATTTTCACAGCCTGAAAAAAGGGTTTCATTCACCTCGCTTGTTTCTGATCAACGGAGTTCAGAAAATGGGAGAAAGGGATTATATAGCAGGGACTTGATTAATTGATTTTAAGAATTGAAATGACGATGGACCAGGTCCAGGCATTTAAAATGGCTCAACTTCATGCTTACGGCTACCTACCTAGTTTATTTCAGACAAAAACGGTAGTAAGATTTTATTTTATGGAGATGAATTATAATTTTTAAAATTTTAAGGGGACGAAAATAAATTTTAAATAGAAAATATATAGAAAAAATATAAAATTATATGATCATTTTAAATTTTAATGAGACGACTGCCCGCACGAACCCCTCGATCTATCCCTATCCTGAGAAATTCCTGAGATAGAGTCTTAAAAAGTTAAAAATAATAGTAAAAATATAACATAATTAAGATGATTGTACATTGACAATTTATTTTATCACAACTTAAATATAACATAATTAAGATGATTGTGAGTATTTATCAACGTGAGAAAATATAATTTAAGATTTTGAATTAAGAAAGATCAATAAGATATCCAAATGAATGTCAATCAAATGAATAAAGTCAAATTTCACATTAAAAAATGAGAAAAACATGTTACAAGAGTAAATTTTTTTCTATAATTTTTATTAAAAATGAAAAATTATTAAATAAAACATATAAAATTTTAAATATAAAAATTAAAAGTAAACTCAATAAAAAAATATAATAGATCACACGTTTAGTCTGATATATATTTATTTTATCTGAAATAAAATACCAAAATCCTATATATGGGTCAACATTTTTAAATGAATTTTTTAGAAAGGAATTACACAGAAATTATGTAATTATTATATACTTTTATAAAAAAAAAAACTATATTTTATGAAAAAAATGAAAGAAAATATAGTTGCAATGTCCCCTCAAAATAGAGAAGAAATTGCCACATTCAGTTAGTAGCACTACAACAAAATTATTCTGTAACGGTGTTTTGAGAATAAACGTCATTAACTTTAAATATATAACGGCGTTTACAATCTAAAAATCATAAAACTGTTCTGTAAACATCACTAACCTTAAACAAATAAACTAAAAAAAACGTCACTAAAAATATGTTTGGCTATAATATAGGCAGTAGGTGAAACTATCCATTGATTAGCGAATAATTTTTTCTAAAATAATATTTTTTGATATATGACTTTCGATGTATTATTAAAAAATAATTTTATAATTTAGTACTCTTAAATATCACTTTACTTGTTATTACAATTTCCTTTTCGAAAGTGGATTTGACTTTGACTGTTTCTAAAAAGGCACCGCCGTGATTGGCCGCACTTTCATTCCACGTGAGGGTAAAAGAAAAAGTCAACAATATCGACGGACAGGGTTCTTTAACACAGATGTGAGTCCCATATCTTTGTTTGACCAATCCACGTTTAATAATCGTGCATGCATTTGGTTCTATTACGTCACGTTTTGTCTTCTTTTATCCATAAGATCGCGTTACTTAAGATTATTGTTTGGTGTAAAATTTAGTTTTTTATTTTAATTGATTTATTTAAAATTTAAATTTAATCAAGTTAAATTTGAAGTTTTAATATTATAATAGGTAAAGATACACAAATGATCATCTGATTATATGACTTTGTTTTGTAAATTCCTTGACTATTAAAACTTATAAAATGGTCTTCCGATTATAAGACGTTGTTTTGTTGAGTCTCTCAACTATTAAAAGTCATAGAATGGTCACCCAACTATTCATATGCTCAAAACTCGTCCTCTTCTGTTACAAAATTGACGGACAGTCTGAGCTAGACGTTAACACGATGATAGTGATATGATAGCCGTTTGAGATTCTGAGATCAAATTTTATCTTATTCCAGTCAACAAGTTAACGTCCAGCTCAAAGTCGTCAATTTTTAACGGAAAATGACGAGTTTGGAACATCCATTTTATAGTTTTTAATAGTCGATGGACTTAACAAATCAACGACCTATAATCGAATGATTATTTTGTAGCTTTTAATAATCGGAGTTAATATACAGTTCACTAAAGAATAAGAAAAAAAACGGCATCGTTACTTCATGAGTGTTCGAATTGATGACATTAGAGTCATATATAAATTATTTATTTAGTCCAATAATTATAAATTGTAATAATTGACTTTGGGTATTTTAATGTGTTCTTACGATAGTATATGTCTTAATTTTAGTATGGATAAACTTTTACTGATAATATTATTTAAACTCGAATTTCTTTTTTGATTTCAATTATTTACATAAACTTAATTGAAAGTGATTATTAACAACTATATCAACTTGAAAAGATTAATTAAAAGAAAACTAATGCATTGGGATTAAACCTAATTCCCATGCTCAAAAGTCATCCCATGTCCATGCCCTAATTTGACAATAATTTACTTATATACCTAACTTTTCGTCCTTCACTATGTAGCATTTTTTTCACCTTAATTTACTCATACACCTCGCTCTCTACATTTAATATATTGTCATTAACTATATATAGATTATTTTAACCGAAGTTAAATTTACTTGCAACACAAAAATATGAAAAGTAACCTTGAGATTGTATATGTTACTATTTTTCTTTTAGAAAACTAGGCCAACCTTTTTTTTATGAAAACAATATTTTTTTATATATGTTCTAAATACTATCAATCATTTGATAATAAACGCTCAATCACTCTGCTTCAGTCGCTGGTACTCAAACCCGTGAACTCAAACAAAATTACTTCTACCAACAACCAATTGATCTAACAGGAAGAGTCACTAAATCCCTTAAATAAAGTTAAAGGTTCGAATCCTGACGATTATAAATAGAGCAATAGATCAGATACTAATGATTATACCAATGATCCCTTAAACAATAGATCATATACCAATGATTATACAAAAAAAAAATTACTTCTGAAACACAGAGATCAACAGGTCCTTGGCTATTTGTGAACAATATATATTTGACTTGGCTTGACAGTTGTGTTATTTGATAACGAAACAATTTTCCTCAAAGTTGTCATTCAATTTGAAGCATACTTTAGAATGAAAAAAAAATAGAAAAAAAAAGTAATTAATTACCACAAGTTGATTGAAAATTTTGTTGGTTCAAATCAATATTTTCTTCCATCGCCGCCTGAACCCACAACTGAGCTTCTCATTTTCTTCTCCTTTTTCCCTTTACACCATGATCGCCTTTCAACTCGCACCAATCTCGAAAGGGGTGACGGTGATGATTGACTTCAATGATAATAAATGGGATTTAGGTGTTTAAGGATTAGAGATTTAGGGATGAAGAGTTCAGGGATTTTGTGAGAATATAGGTATTTTCCGGGGGTTGTGAGAATTTATGTATTATGGAGGGCTTTTTTTTATAGAAAAATAATAATTTTAAAAAATTAGAAGCAAATTAATGATTTAACATATATCATCTTTTTAGTATCTAAAATTAACAAGTGATATTGATTTAAAAATTACATTAGATACTTAAATAAAAATAGGATTTATAAAAAAATAAATATTTTAAGTATCTACTTTGACAAAAAAGAAATATTCTAACTAATGAGATAAAAATAGTATGTTAAATAAATACTTACGTTTGAATTTAACCTTAAAAAAATAGGATAAAAAACTCAAATGATCCCTCAACCATAAAATATTACTTCATTAAGTCTCTCGACTATTAAAAGTTATACAATAATCATCCGATTATTCAATGTTCTAAATTCATATTTTTCCATTAAAAAATAGACTATTCTAAACTGAACATTAACTTATTGAACGTGATATGATAAATTTTGATCTCAAAATCTCAAACGCCTATCATATCTCAGTCATCATATTAACATTCAGCTTAGACAACCGCCAATTTTTTAATAGAAAAAGGCAAGTCGAATAACTATTTTTTAACTTTTAATAATCGATGAACTCAACAAAACAACACCCCCGGTGAAAAGACTGTTTTATAACTTTTAATGGTCAATAAACTTAATAAAACAATATCATATAGTCGGAGACCATTTGCATGTGAGAAAAATAGACAAGTTCATACATGGAAAAAAAATAAGTGCTAATGTAAATAAATTAACATGTTTTAGAGGTTAAACTGTGGCTTATCCCTTTATTATTTGTTATCAGAACTTTATAAATAAGAATTTGTAGGGAAGTTTATGTTAACACTCGACATGATCGGACTTATGAACACCAACAGGCTACGGTATATTTATATCCTCAAGCAAATTATTTGCATTACTTCGATTAACTAAGAATTACAAGCACATCTAGTCACTCAAAAAGCAGTCTGGTATTGTAATAAGGGGCAGAATTTACATCAAAGTAAATGAACGATCAATAAACCATACACGTAGCTTTTCTTTACTGTTCCCAAATCTAACAATCGAGGAATGCAAAGAATATTTCCTGACCTACTTTCAGGATTTGTATAATGTTACCCTGGAAAATTGATTTCTTCTATGTATTTAGGGGATCATACCTTCATATTCATGTCCAAATGTGTGTAACAAGGAGATCGATCGGATCGACATAAATACTGAAGACGTTTTTGCATGTGTATCCGAAGCTAATGCACGATGGGACAGTTGCAGCATGAAAATTCTTGTCCAGATAACTAATGGTGGAAGTGAGATACATGTCATTGGCATTCAAACACGATTTGGCAGTTTCTACCAGTTTTGAGCAGATGGGTAATACATGTTCATTTATCTGCATGAACACGAGAAAACACAAAGTAGTGGTATCGGACAAATATATAATATGGTTAAGACATTATGCTTGCAGCTAACCAATTTAGGAAATATAACAATTTTGTTGGATGTCTATGAGATCAAGACTGATAAATCGGGATGAGTTCCATAAAAAGAGGATAGATGAACATACCGTGAAAGACGATGCTATTCAGTTACAAGCTTCCAGCGACATGCTTCCACGGGCAGCCTTAAGCCAGCATAACCAGTCAGTCATAGAAAAGGGAATAAAATGGTC